TAATTTCATATTTTATATATTAAATATTAAATTCATTTTTAAAGATATGTTTATATTAAGATTAAATTAGAAATCCATTAATACATAAATGTTTAGTATATTAATACATTTGAAACATTAATACATTAAACATTAATATATTAATACATTTTAAATCCTCATGAGATATAATTATGGGCTAATATATATATATATAAAAGATATATAGACACGCACATTATATATATATATATATATATATATATATATATATATATATATATATATATGATTTTGGATGTGATTAACAGCACTAATATATATATATATTATATATATATATATTAGAAAAATATAAAGAAATAAAGCAATTCGTCTCTTTGGTAAGGAAGTAAAGAAATAATTGAATTTTTTTCTATGTCATTATTTTTATTTCATTTAAGTATTTAAGTTCTCTTTTTCTCTGAAAGTTGCAGTTTATAATTAAGACATAACTGATTGCAAAATTAATGAATCCGTTGAATATATGTCAATCCCCCATAATCCCATCTGTCTGAGCAGGTGCACACATCAGCCCGTACCTTTACAGATGCCATATTCATCTCCATAATCATCCTCATCCTTGTAGAAGTCGCAGAAGAGTCCCGGTCCGCACTTGACGCCGTGCATCCCGGACACGGTGCGGTAGCAGTGCTCTCCCCGTCCCGCGGCGCAGAGCTGGCAGCATCCGCAGTCATCCAGCACCGTGCTCCTGCAGCGCTGCGTCGAGCCGCACAGCGCGGGGTTGCATTTATCCGGGCAGCTGACGGCGTATTTACCAGCGGGACCCCACGCGTCAGCGTCTCCGACCACCATCAGCAGCAACACCGGGATCGCGTACAAACGCATGGCTTGAAGTGCTAGCGAACACCACGCTGGATGCTGTCCTCGGGTCTAGTGCGCTGGGGAGGAGCTGTCCTCTTCTTAGATGCGATAGTGAATGAAACGGCTCGGGCTGCATGACTGTCAGCTTTAAACAAGTTTGTTTTGCACATCGTATGCCCTCGTCAGTTTCCTCAATCCGGTGTTGTTGTCTATTTGCCAGCCTCCCCCTTTCCCTGTTTTAGAAATCCGGCGTGGAAGTGGAATTAGAGCCGTGCTGCCATCCAGGAATTGATGTCACCCCTGAAGTCTGGAGTTGTTTGTTTGAAGGTTTTTCATGATGACCCTCGTGACCCCCACAGCTCCTTGTTCCTGACATGAACGTGCATGAGGAGATGTTTTTGGTAGCGTTAAAAGTGTCTTCTTCTGAGACTTGATTTACAGTAAACAGTTTGCACACAGAAATGCACACACATTTCACAAATAATTACAAAGAAAAGGCAGCTAACACTTCTTCAAAAATCTGTTTCATTTACAAGTACTAGGCCTATGTGTGTGTGTGTGTGTGTGTGTGTGTGTGTATATATATATATATATATGTATTTTTACTATTTAAAATAACTTTTTTTTCTATTTTAATATATTTTAAAATGTAATTTACTCCTGTGATTTCAAAGCTGACATTTTAGCATCATTACTCCAGTCATATGATCCTTTAGAAATCATTCTAATATTCTGATTTGCTGCTCAAAAAAAACATATTGTTATTATTATGTTGAAAACAGCTGAGTAGATTTTTTTTCAGGTTTCTTTGATGAATAAAAAGTTCAGATGAACAGCATTTATCTGAAATAGAAATCTTTTCTAACATTATAAATGTTTTTATCGTCACTTTTGATCAATTTAAAGCATCCTTGCTAAATAAAAGTATTAATTTCTGTTACTTGTTTTTTTGAGCAGCAAATCAGCATATTAGAATGATTTCTGAAGGATCATGTGTCACTGAAGACTAGAGTAATGTTGCTGAAAATTCAGCTTTGATCACAGAAATAAATGACATCTTAAAATATATTCAAATAGAAAGCAGTTATTTTAAATAGTAAAACATATTTCACAATATTACTGCTTTTGCTGCATTTTGGATCAAATAATTGCACACTCTAAAAAAATGATGGGTTAAATACAACCCAGCACTGGGTAAAATATGGACAAACCCAGCGATTGGGTTGTTTTGACCCAGCATTTGATTTACTACCCAGAAGGTTGGGTTAAACATTTAATCCAACCACTGGGTCAAAGAACCCAATCTCGGGGTTTGTCCATATTTTACCCAGTGCTGAGTAGTATTTAACCCAGCGTTTTATTTTAGTGCAGGCTTGGTGAGCAGAAGATAATTCTTTAAAAAACATTAAAAATCTTACTGTTCAAAAATGTTGACTTGTATAA